CCTTTAAAAAAAGAATAATTCAACGCCAAGCCTGTATCTGAAGATTCAGGATACATCGTTCATATATTAATCGTCGAATGCATGGCGAATCTTTCACCATGACATAAAGTTCTGAAAAAGAACAGCAGCTTCTAGCCCAGATTGAACGTAGATCTGGAAAAAGTCGGGTGGAAAATAATGGATATTCGCTAGAAAATATCTTTCACAAAAGTAATACATAGATCACCTAAATATGGTGCAAAAATACTTGTAAATCTTATCATTATGATATTTATCTATCCATCGATTTTCACAACCTGTTCCCTTCAGACTGCAGAGGTCGTGGCTAAGACAGTCGCAGTATTTCCTTAATTGAACAAGTTAGATCAGTTGGGTTCCATGGAACAACAATGACATGCATTCACTGGAACCTAGTCACTACCTAGTCCTTGGTTCGACCCATAGCTGCCTGATATGTGGCACTGCGAAGAAAGGTTGTCTTGTGATTGTTTCTTCAGCCATCCTGATCATGGGTCCAAGTGACTTCAACTGGGACTTCTCAACCTGGAAAAAAAGCTTCCAAAATGAGATACACCTGAACTGTTGCGCTACGAATTTTGTCAATTTCAATCACACCATCGCTCCTTCAAGGAACCTTGTTTCTGCCACTTGCACTCATGCTAGTGCATGTTCGCACTGTTGTCTAAGAGATCTACTTCGAACACCGGAGGTGCGGGGTTCGATTCCGCTCGAAGACAACCTCTGTCATATTCACGAATTCCCTTGAGCAAGGAATTTATTTACTACATATTGCTTCAAATCGGGTTGCTTGGTCGGTAGGGCGTCGAACTCAGAACCGATGGGCCCTGAGTTAAAGCTCCAGTCGAAGTTACTCACGCTTCTTCCTTTCCAGGTTGATAAATTAGTAACGTTGTGTGAGAAAAAACAGGAGAATACGCGCTAGGCTATAGTTGTAGACCGTGCCTTAAAATATTTGGCACTCGTAGCTAATGGCAAAGAAACGGAAATCAATACGCACCATCAGCTTCATGATAAGAAGGGCGCCAAAATGTTATAATCATGAAACTAAAGGAAGACCGACGTTTCAACGTTGACCAACTTTCCTTCCTTTTTTCCAGTGGTAGAATTACTTCTGTCAATATCCAGTGTTTATATACACAGATGAAGACGGATGCGTAAAGAAAATATTGCACCGCTTTTTTTCACCATTTCAGAATGGTTTAACTTTCGAACTACTGCGCCGGTTTGGCAATCTGTATGCTCATTTCCGCGTCCTATCCACCGTGAAAAGAAATCTGAGAAACTTAATACTGTTTCATCAGTTTCAGTTATAGGTTACCTATCTGCAGAGCCAACTGAATGACCTTTCTAAGGAAAACATCAGTTTCTGTCAAGTTATTTTCATCCCGGCATGATCTGCTCGAACCT